GGCTACGCTGGCTAGGTCATGTTGTCCGGATGGACGAAAACGCTCCAGCTCTGAAAGTATTCGACGCAGTACCCGCCGGGGGAAGCAGAGGAAGATGAAGACCTCCACTCCGTTGGACGGACCAAGTGGAGAAGGACCTGGCTTCACTTGGAATATGTAATTGGGGCCACGTAGCGAAAAGAAGAAACGACTGGCGCGCTGTTGTTAACTCGGCTATAATCGCGTAAGCGGTGTCTACGCCAATCAAGAAGAAGAAGAAGTGGGTGCAGCATGTCAGTTGACAAAAGCAGATAACGTTACGAGGCATCTCGACAGGCAAAAATATATCTCAATACTAATTGTATTGCTGTACGTATTGCCAGTAGAGACTCCATATTGCTTATGGATTATCTAATATCTGGAATACTAATTTCTATGTATAATATGTAATAAATTGGAAGCAATGAACTGCCACTTCAGCARTTTGACACATTAGTTTCCATTTCTATGAAAATTTCGAAGAGGTATACATCAACTATTTGATATGTCGCTGTCGTCTTCAAAATACAATAGTGGTATTCGCTTGCTCTTGCAAGATACCATATTGTAAAAATACTATGCCGAAATATACAAGGGCACGAGAGCACCCATTGCAGAATCTAGTGATATATGAACAGCTGATTCGATCAATTTATTGTGAATGACTATTACGCATGGSTATTGTGGATTGGCGCACCTTCTGCATATATTTTTACCAAAAAAAAAAAGTGTAATAAATCTTTATAATTTAAGTAGAAATTATAAAATATATTTAAAACTTACCTTCCTCAACAATTTAACGACGTAATATGTTTTTATGTAAAATGACAGCTAAAACAGTGTTGCAATTATATTTTTGGGTGACATTACACGCAAATATACATGGGTTTTGGTCTGCCATATTTTACAGCCATTGAAAATAATTTTCTGCGAGTGTTTGTTGTTGTGCCAGTGCACCAAGAGGAAATATATGCAATTCTTGCACCGTGCAAGGGTTTTGSAAAAGCAAGCGAATATCCCTAAAATATCACAAATAACCTATATGCGGTCTCCACTGGCAATATAGTAGGCAACAAACAAATCTATGTCGAGAAAACAGTTATTGCTTGTGGAAATGCCACGTTAAATTACGATTCAAATATTACTCTTTGGGCAACATTGGTGCCATTAATCGATGTTCTTGTCGCATTTCTATCCACACCAAAGTGAGGAATGTTGAACATATCGACGTGTGTTTGTAGATTGAATTGACGATAATTTGGTTTACAATTCAGTTTAACCTTTTTTTTTTTAAATAATAAACATCAGAACGGAAATTAAACATTACTACTGCGCACTAAAAATGGTATCAAATGTTTAATATCAACATAGATATACATATGTATTAACACGTGAAATGGATATTGTCAAATTTAGATTTTGTGTCAGCATACCAATATCCGATTGGATTTGGAAAGTATTTTAGATCTATTTTATTTCAATTGAAATACATATCTGTATATCACTAATCTGTATAATCACTAATACACATAAATAATACATAACATTTGTTTCTGGTTAAAATGGGTATGTGCGGATAGAGATGCTCCAGATCCAGAAAATATATGGTTGGGGCTGTCATAGTTTTGGAGATATTTGCATTAAAATTTCAAAAATTCAACTATTTAAAATGTGTGTTTCTCCGATTTATAATGAATTTTAGAGACATATTTAAAATTTTTTTTTAAGTACTGTAAAATAAGTTTACTTCCGTATTAAGCTTTAGTAGAAATTTTTTTTGCTTTCATCGCTACGGAAAATTAGTATAACCATTATTTKTAATCGAATAAAAATAAGAAAAACGAATAATTATGCCGTCAATGGCATCAAAATCTATTGTTGTGTGATGAGTAATGTAAAATCTTTCACAACTTTCATAATGTCCGTGTTAAATCTGCCAAGGTTATTTTTTTTTTTTATTTTATTTATTTTTTTTTATTGAAGCGCGGCCAAAGACCTGAGGCAGTCGGGTCTACGAAAACCGGAACGGACCCGGATTTTCATCCGGCCAAGGACTGTCAAATCGGTAGAATTCTGCTGTTACAAAAACAACAACAACCTGAGGCAGCCCAGGGTTTGGCTATGTTTTTTGGAACGCCGTCGAAGGCCATCCCAGGATTTCTGGAATAATATGAATATGGTCGCATAGAGGATGTTCTCCAGATAAATAATATAAATAGGAAGGATACCAATAGTTTTCGAGATATCTACGTTTAAAATTAAAAAACTATTTGAATTACGTATTTTTCCCGATTTAAAATTAATATTACACTTATATTTTGCACTTTTATATCCACTGACACTTAACTAATTCACTTGTACATATTTCGTATTATGTAGTGCAAAAATAGGTCACTATTTTAAAGTTAAAATCTATTTATTTAACAATAATGACAGAGTTACGATCTGTCAAATAATCAGTGTTACCATACTAATACATTTGAACAAAGTAACAAAAAACTATAGAAAGATAGATTTATAAAACGAATTTCTTCTTAATTGGCACAGACACCGCTTACGTGATTATAGCCGAGTTAACAACCGTGAGCCAGTTTCTTCTTTCCGCTACGTGGCGCCAATAGGATATTCCAAGCGCAGGTCCTTCTCCACCTGGTCCTTCGAACAGAGTGGAGGTCTTCCTCTGCTTCCCCCGGCGGGTACTGCGTCGAATACTTTCAGAGCTGGAGTGTTTTCATCCATCCGGACAACAATACCTAGCCAGCGTAGCCATCGTCTTTTAGTTCGCTGAACTATGTCRATGACGTCGTATATCTCATACTGCTCATCGTTCCAGCGATTGCAACTTTAATAGTAGTTGTCACCGTCCAACCTCTGCACCATATAGCAGGAGCGGAATTATGAGCGACTTATAGAGTTTGGTTTTTGTTCGACGAGAAAGGAATTTGCTTCATTAAAAGGGGGTCTCTCATCCGAGGCTGGTTGTTCCTTTTCATTGGGGGTGTTTTTTTACGTGGCGGGTCCCAAACCCAGCGCACAACCCTATGCAGGGTATATTTCGCATTCTCACTTTAGCTCGCCTACAAACGGATATTCAAAGACCGAAAGTCGTGAGCTGCTTGAGCCATATGTAAAAAAATCGTTTCTGGCCACTCCCAAGTAAATGGCGATCAGAGAACTTTGATCCCTTGCGTGAACTTTTACACATGACTCCATCCTCCTCTACACATGACTCGATCCTCCAAAACGAAGTTAGAGCGAAAAAAAAGGAATTTTACTCGAAAAAAACCTAAAATACCCCTGTGTTGGACCGACTATGGTTGTTTTTTTTGAAGCGCGGCTCGTAATAAAAAGAAATTTTGTGATAGACAACTGCAAAAATCCTTCGTTTTTGAGTATAATCTATTTTCTTCTTTTCTTTCAGTGCACTTACAAAAGATTATTTGACAGACATAGACATTGATATAGACAATAATTTTAATATTGATATAAAATTGTTTTTGCACTATGTAATGTAAAAAAAATGTGTACAAACGATTTAATGAAGTGTTAGTGGACACAAAAATGAACAATATACGTGTAAAATTAATTTTAAATCGAAAACATATGTAATGTAAATAGTGGTAATTTTCAACTTTAAATACAAATATCTCGAAAACTATCAGTTTCCTGATCCTATTGATCTGGAGAACCTCCTCTATCCGACTATACCCATTTTATTCCCGAAATCCTGGGACAGTATACTAAAGTTTTTCTTATGTGTTTTGCTGATAAATATATACAGTGAATCAATAAAGTTTACATACACCTAGTCCTATTAAATAACGACACGTTTATTTGTCTTAAAATGAATACATTTTGTGTGCTTTTTTATCCATTTCAAAAGATGTATATGTAACATTAAATATAGCATATCTCAATTTTTTTTGTAACACAAAAAAACTTGATACTAAAGCTAAAAATGCGCCAAATTTACATCAAAAAAGTTTACGTAATCTTGTGATTATTTATATAATTCAAAAGTGTAGTAGTTTTAGATGCATTTATTATTTTTTTGGCCTTCAGTTTGTTCCAATTATCTCCCCCGGATGTTGGCGCATGCTCCTTGCTCGATTTCTAGTATTTCCGGATATTTTGACCCACTAAGTCCATAAGGCCCACTAAGTCGATTTAAAACTAATTTTACACCTATATTTTGCACTTTTATGTCCACTGACACTTCATTAATTCGTTTGGTACACATTTATTTTATAGTACATAGCGCGAAAATAGATTTTATTCAAGATTTGACTTATTGTTCAATTCTATTTATTTAACTACAACTAAAGGGTTGCAGTCTGTCAAATAATCAGTGATACTTTATCGATATCTTTTGTGAATGACCTAAAGGAAATAAATTTACCAAAAAAAGGATTTTTGCAGCTGTCTATCGCAAAAAATCGTTTTATCTTTAAATAAAAAAATAACCCTGGTCGGTCCAACGCTGGGGTGTTTCAAGTTTTGTTGGCGTGTAAAACTCCGTTTTGTTAATCTTCCTTTCTTTTATATTTTTGTTAGTTTGTTAAAATATATTAGTATGGTAACACTGTTGTTTTGATATCTACAATTGACTCAAAACGGTTTCAACGGAGCGGTTACAGGAGTTACAGGAATAGCCAGAAATTTAATCAGGTGAATACGGTGCTTGTTCAATGATATTTGTTTGGTTTTTCAAAATTTTGCAAAAAAAAAGGAAATTTTTTTGAATTCGACAAATAATACTTAGGTCGACTGACATGAACAGCTGCTATAAACACTCTGGTTGACTTACGCTAATTTTTGGCACCATAATTAAGGATAGTTGTACCAACCTAGAAAAAAAATTTACTTGTCTTACAAGCGGAAGATGAAGAATTCCCGATACTTTCTTGAAAGGGTGAAAAATATAAGTGTAATATTAATTTTAAGCCATTTTTATTTCCCGAAATCGGTAATAGTTTAATATCCCCCCCATTAAAATCGTAAATCGCCAAATCATATATACAGTGAGTCAAAGTGAACGCATTGAATGGGCATTTACTTATAATGAAACAGTATATATGTGATAACTATGAATATTTTTCCTTTATTTTTTAATCACTGATTAGGTGTCTGTATGCAACCTAAATCATTATTTTTTTAATCATGCACAAAAATAAATAAAATTCAATTTTTCTCAAAGTCACTCAAAATTCAACATCAAAATGAAACTCATACAAGACATTTTTGACAACTGGGTGTTAAGTACCGTATGCATTGCTTGCTATTTTCTTTCGTTTCTTCTGTTTCATTTACTGCATTCCATCAGTTGTGTTAAGTATTTGTTGCAATGGGTCGCCAAAGAGGACAAACTTCTGTATCCGAGGGTGAACTAGTCATTTATCATCACAAAAAAGGGAAAACTCTTCGCGAAATCGGTGAAATTGTGAACAGAAGCTTTTCAACAGTGCAGTGTATAATTAACAGATACAAGAAAGGTCAAGGAGTGAAAAATAAAGAAAAACGTAGTACAAAAAAAATATTTAGTGCTGAAGATGAAMGCTGGATTATAAGAGAAGTGAAGAAAAATCCTACAATAAGTTCTCCTAAACTTGCATTGGCAGCACAAAAATATTTGCATAAGTCCGCTTAATCCCAATACAATGGGCGAACGGCTAGAAACAAACCATACATAAATGAACGTAATAGAAAGAAACGACTAGCCTTTGCTCCGTTCCCACGACAGTCGGGTCTACGTAACCGGAACGGACCCGAATATTTATTCGGTCAAGGACTGTAAATTCGGCAGAACTCTGTCGCTACAACAACAACAACAAAAACTGACCTTTGCTAAATATTTAGGAAAGGATTTCGAGTATTGGAGAAACGTTATTTACGCTGATGAAAGTAAATTTATCCTATACACATCTGAAGGTAAAGTTTGCGTGTGGAGAAAACCGAACGAAGAGTTGAAACCAGCAAATTTAAGTCCTATCGTGAAACATGGCGGTGGAAGTGTAACCGTTTGGGGGTGTATGTCTGCTAGCGGTGTTGGTAAATTGTTTTTTATCGACGATATAATGAACCAATACACTTACCTTAACATCCTCACTCAAAATTTGAAAAGCAGTGCAGAAAAATTGGGCATCCTGGATAAATTTATATACTACCAGGACAATGACCCTAAACATAAAGCCCATAAAGTACGAATGTGATTATTGTTTAATTGTCCAAAAGTACTAGAAACGCCCCCTCAATCGCCAGATTTGAACGTGATTGAGGAGTCAATTGGAAACTGGAATCAGAAATTATCATATAACTAACCGGAAAACTCTGAAAAAGGCACTTCAA